CACATAAAAAAAAAGAAAGAAAGAAAGAAAGAAAGAAAAAAGAAAAAGCAAAGCAAAGAAAAAGAAGGGAAAAGAAAAAAGTGCAAACTGAGCTTGAAAAACTGAGGAGGGAGGAGCTGGGTGTCCTAGAAGAGACTGGGGCTAGCAACTCTGCATAAGTCATCTCTTGGTGGGCAGAGGGACAAGAGTTTAAAAGGGACAAAGTGGGTGCTGAAACCGTAGTGGCACAGTTGCAGAGTCTGCCTGTGTTGCTGGTGGTGGTGCCACGTCTGTGGGCTGTTTATTGATGTCACTTGGAGAGGTGACTGAGGTGTACAAATATGCAGAGATGGTAGGCAGTCTGGGCTGGGGAGTAGGAGAACACTGTGCATGTCTTGTACTACATGTGCTGGGAGGACCAACGGGAGGGGGTTGGTATGTGCATCTGCAGAGGGAACAGAGGTATGAACAGAGGTATGGGTCAGGAGAAAATTTAGCAAATGACACATGTGAGGGGAATGTATGGAAGTATGCGTTCCTTTGTGTGTGTGTGTGCGTGTGCGTGTGTGGCACATGCCTGGGCTATGTCATGAGTTCAAGACCAGCCTAAACTACATAAAGAGACCCTGTCTCAAAAAAAAAAGAAAAAAGAAAGAAAGAAAAAGGAGGGGCTGGGGGTTTAGCTCAGCGGCAAAAGCGCCTGCCTGGCAAGCGCAAGGTCGTGAGTTCGGTTCCCGGTACCGGAGAAAAACCAAAAAAAAAAAAAGAAAGAAAGAAAGAAAAAGGAGCAGGAGAAGAGGAAAAAGGAGGGGAAAAAGTTAGGATTCAGTCGTCTCTAAGGAGGAGCCTTCCTGCATGACGAAGAGCATGATATTAAGCAGAGCATGGTTCATCCCTACAATCCCACTCCTCTGGGAGGCTGAAGCAGGAAAACTACAAGTTCAAGCCTACCTTGAGCAACTTAGTAATTTAGCAAGATAGAAAATAAGAAAGAAAAAAAAGGACTGAAGATATACTTCAGTGTGAAGGTCCTGGGATCAATCTCTAGTACCACAGGGGGGAAAAAAAAATCTTCTATATTTTGTTTTTGAGAAAGGCTCTCACAGTGTAGCCCAGGCTGGCCTCAAATTCACAGTGACACTCCTGCCTCAGCCACCCTACCACTGGAATTACAGGTGTGCACCACCACACTCAGTATTTTTATTTTATTTTCTAAAATCTTATTTGTATCGGGCAAGAAAGAGCTGGAAGCAACCTGGCTGTGTGTGGGTAAGAGGATGTACATATGTGTGTGTATGTGCACCTGCCCCTCTCCTCTGGGGTCCCCTCATCTCTTTTTTTTTTTTTTTTTTTTTGTACCAGGAATTGAACTCAGGACCTCAGGCTTGCAGGCAAGCACTTATGCCACTGAGCTATATCCCTGGCAACCCCCATCTCATTTTTGGTAAAGGGTAGGTGCACTTAGCTCACTCCTCAGCTCCAAGTTGCTCAGGACAAGTCTTCAGAGACTGACAGAACTTAGATTTGAGTACTACTGGCTTTGTGACCCTTTATGACCTTTAGTCTGTCTCTAAGCCTCAGTTTCCTCATCTGTAAAATGGAGACATTAATGGTCAACATTTATTGAGTGTTTACTAAGTGCCAGGCACTACCCTAAAAGCTGTATGCATATTAACTCGGTTAATTCTCATAGCAATGCCTTATCCTCATTTATACAGACAAGGAAGGCACTTGGGAAGCCAAACGACTTGCCCAGGATAACTCAGCCAGTATAGAGATGTGATGGCCAGATCCACCCTCAAGGTGGGACCTGCCCCCCCACCTCCACTGGGAGGACAAGAGGGAGGGAGTTTAGTATGTTTGTCTGCATTGTGAGCAGAAGTGTGGGTAAGGAGAGAATTTAGCAAGTGACACCTGAATGAGAGGAACATGTGGAGGTGTGTGTGTACCTGTGTGTGTAAAAAATGTGCATGCCTGTAACCCCAGCACTCAGGAGGCTGAGGCAGGAGGATCACCTGTAGCTGTTAGCTCCTTCACCAGCTGCCTCTAGTGCAGACAGTGCTCTCACAGAAGCTGTATCCTTCCTAGGCAGCCCCAGGCAATGCCTGGACAAAGCGAGGCCATCACAGAGATCCCCATCTTCACCTAGGCTTCACGGAGTCCAGGTTGCATGGACTGCCCTGTCTTCCCAATCCCATTCTCTCCTTACTTTCACTGGTGTTGGTCCTCAAATAACACTGAACACCCCAAACTTCTCAGGGTTTGGTTCTGGCAATCCCACTAGCACTAACTGCTAAGAGGCATAGCTGAGCTCTGAACTTTGTCTGGTTCCTGACTATGATGCTATTCCACCTCTCAAAATGAAAGAGAACTTTTAGGTGGTGGTGTAGTGATTAGAGAGATGGTGGCTTGTACCCAGAAAGGACTCAATAAATAGTAGTTTCTATTGGGCCGGGGATATAGCTCAACAGTACAGCACCTGCCTGGCAAGCGCAAGGTCGTGAGTTCGATTCCCAGTACAAAAAAAAAAAAAAAAAGTAGTATCTATTAGTATTTATTGCTCAGACTCTTGCTGAAGCTTACCCTGTCTCCTTCCTGGAAAAGACGCCAGAAGTACAGGTTCCCCAGCTTGAGCTGGGGTGCGGCTGAGGTTGGGAGAGGCAGTGGGGTGGGGTGGCTAGAAAGGGAATGGGAGCTCGACCAGTCCACCCTGCTCTCAAGGCAGTGTGGAGGTAGACTTGGAGAACCATAGCGGGGCAAAGAAGAAGGAAGGACACCTTCACACTTCCAAGGACAGCCAAGTTGAACCCAGTGCCTGGTATCGGGGCCACGGAATCTGCCCAGGGACAAACACACAAAGCTTCAGGCCCAGGAGCGCTATGGATTCTATCAGGCTCTGCTCCAAATTCATCGTGTCCGCCCAGTGTCTTCCCTGTGTATTTATCACCCAGCCCAATCTCAGATTGGTTCCCCCTTCTCCTTTCTTGTACACCTGCCCAGAGAGATGACTTTCTTCTGCTTAAATCTTCTTTTTACCTTTCTACTCAGAAAGGAAGTCTTTTTTTTGTTTGTTTGAGACAGGGTCTCACTATGCAGTTCAGGCTGGGCTTGAGCTCACTTTGTAGCCCAGGCTGGTCTCAAACTTGCAAAGATCCACCTGCCTCAGCTTCCCGAGTGCTGGGATTACAGGTGTGTACCACCATGCCCGGCTTTGAAGGAAGTCTCTTCTGAAGTTGGACCTCTATCTTTTGTGCTGTGGGGGGTGACTCTTGCCAGAACTTGGGCCTCTGTTAGGAGCAAGGGAAGGACAGCTGGACCCAGCAATATAAATGCTCGATCAGCATTGTTATGCACACCAGAGGAGCACCCTTGGCAACCCCAGGACTTCTGCCCCTGTGATCAGACCCTCTTCCCTCTCTGCAGCTTCCTTTCTTAGCGAGGGAATGGTGAGCCCTCGGGTTCCTGGTAAGAGGTAACAAGCAGGAGGGGACTCTCTGGCTGTAGCCATTCTTTCTGGTCTCAGGAGTCTTCTCTCTTCATGAACCCCAACTTACCTTTGAAGACAAAGTTATAATCTTCCTCAGTTCTATTCCCCATCTTGGCTCCTCATGGAGGGTGCAGGAATCTTGGGGGTGGAGGTCGCAAGACTGTGTTGGCTCAATGCCCTCAACCCTCGGCTCTCAAGAGACCGGGCCCCACTTCTCCTCTCATTGGGGGCAAGGAGACTTCTGCAGCCAGAGAGACTGAGGACCAACCGAGGCCAGCCAGAGCCTAGTGAGGCTCCCGCAGGTGGGGGTGCTGTATGGAAGCTGAGAGGACGGAAGCGGAGAACAGGAAGAGAGGCGGCCGGGACCTGGGCCCCAGGTGGGTGGAGTGAAGCTGACGTCAGACAGGTTAGACAGGTTGTGTGTTTGCTGGCAGCCTGGGCTACCACATGCAGGGCCAGCTCCCCGGATAACAGTGGGGAGGTTGAGGGGTGGGGGCACACAATCTTGGAGAGCCCCCTGAGGGCTGTTTGTATGACTTCACCCCTGAGATCTGTAGTGAGAGGTTTGGGCCACCACCAGTGAGAAATAGCTCCTCGAGGAGCAGACACCCCATTTGGCTCCCACTTGTCCTGCAGGGGCTCTGGCAGGAGTACAGTGGGGGTCCCAGAGGAAACACTGCTGGAGCAAGGGCTGGGGCGGATGGAATGCCGGTCACCTGCAACAGTGCGGAGCGGTGGGTGCTGCATTGTGGCCACAGTGACTTCTGCCTCTCCCTGATGCCCCAGGGCCTGGGATGGCTGGGGATGGGCAGCGTTTCTTACTGTGGGTGGAGCTGGAACTCATAACCTACCCACTTGCCTGGGATGGTGTGGGGCCAGGAACTGATAGCTCCCTCCACAGACCTGCTCTGAAGACAGAGGAGAGACGTGGGACAGGAATTTGGAGATGGAATGAGTCAGAGGGCAGGATCTGGGGCAGTCACCTCTGAAGAGGTTTCCTGGGGCTCTTCTATTCCTTGCCAGGACTCAAAGCCTCACAAGAGCATCTCGTCTACAAAGACTTGAACATCTAGAAAGGGAAAGCCAGCTGTAGTTTGCCTGTAATCCTAGCACTCAGGACGCTGAGGCAGGAGTATCTGTGAGTTTGAGGCGAGCTTGGGCTACATAGTAAGTTCAATGCCAGCCTGGACTACATAGCAAGACTGCCCCCCACCAAAAAAAAAAAAGAGATCTGAAAAAGGGTTCTTCCTAAGGCCTAGAATGAAGGGTCCTATATTCTTTGTTTAAAATAACTAGGTCTCTACACCTTTCCACTCATCCAGGTGAGTATGCTTCTGCTGAGTGGCAGAGGTTACGTGGGGTAACCACTGGAGAGGCCAAGGGAGTGGGGACACCACTGCAAGAACCATCGGGTCGGGGAGATCACAGTGAAGGAATGGGTAGAAATCCATCCTGCAGAACACAAGCAATCCTCCAAGCCATCTCTGTGTCCTATGTCCTCTGATTCATCCCATCCAAGAAAGTGGCCACGACACAAGGCAGAAGTTGAAGTTTATTCTAGAAAAAGCAAAGTCCCTCCTCTCCACCACAGTCCAGGAAGGTTTTCCCAGGGGGCCCTGCCCCTCCAACTGTCATCACCAGTGTCCACCAAGGCCCGCTAGGATGCTGCTACTTGAGTGAGGGGCTCCTCCAGGTACTGCACCAAGGCCTGAGCCTGCAAGAGGGGTACACATCAGTCCCATGACCACCACTCCACGGACCCACGTGCTCCCCACGCCATACTGAGCAACGGCCACGAGCCCTGGCTGCTCCTGGGAGTGGGCCACACTGGACATGATCTGAGGAGACTAAGAACTCCAGAAAGGGGGTGTGGGTGGGAGTGAACACAGGGACGAAGCATAAGGCCTAGGCGCAGGGTGAAGGAGGGATGGGCACATACACACCTTGGCCTTGAGCATCCCGAAGCCCACGGTCTCCTTGGCATACATACACAGCAGAAGATTGGCCACTCGGGTGATGGCTACACGGCCCTCCTGGTGGAGTACATGACGGATGGAATGCTCTGCTTGGCACCTTTAGCTCCTTCCTTCCCCAAGGGCTTTTCTGGCCCTACAGACTGTATCTTCCTCCCATTCCCTGGGAAGCTTTGGTCAGTCCTGGACATGGGGCTCTGAGCCTGGGTTCCAGCCTCAGCACAGACACCTGCTAGACGCAGTCTCCCAGAAACTCAGTGTCTTCCTGTAACCCCCAGCTCACCCCAGTTGGTGGATGGAATAGACCCATGAATGTATCTGTCAAGGGTTATGCAAGGAAGTGGTATTATTATTATAGGTTCGCCCCAGAGACACTCACAACCCAATTTCTATTTTTCCTTTTTTCCCAGGTCAATGGTTTTTAAACTGCAGAGATCAATTTACAAGGTTGGCAGCTTTTGGCATAGTGGTACATGCCTGTAATCCCAGCACTCTGGGAGGCTACGGCAGGAGGATCCCAAGTTTGAGCCCAGCCTGGGCAACTTAGCAAACTCTGTCTCTAAAATAAACAAACAAACAAATAAACAACTAAGGGCTAAGGATGTAGCTCAATACAAAGATTCTGAGTTCAATCCCTAGTACTAAAAAACCAAAAAAATAATAACAACAACAACAACAAACAAAAACCACACACACACAAAAGCTCTGCTGTGTGTGTGATGGGAATCAAACTCAGGACCTTGCACTTGCCAGGCAGGGACTGTGCCACTGAGCTATATCCCCAGCCATCCAAAATGTATTCCCTACGGCTGGGTTGTAGTAAGAAGTTTGAAGTTATTGCCCTGCTGCAACTCTAGGCACTCAAGGACTCATCTGCTGAACCAAAATGGCACTGGTTGGGCAGGAGTAGGCAGCTGGCTATAACGGGGCTCCTTCATGGACAGTCCACTTTGTGCTCCACTTAGTTGGGTTCTGCACACCTTCACTGAGTATCTACTATGTACAGGGGACCAGGCACTGTACTCTCTGCCTCTGGTCTCATCTCCTGTTGCCCTCCTCCATTCTCACACCACTCCAGTTATAAGAACCCTGTTCATCTTTGACCAGGGCTTTTACACTTGCTGTTCTATCAGAACTGTTTCCCCCGCCATAGCTATATGGCTTCGCCCCCACCTTCCTTCAGATCTTCGATCAAATGTCACTTTTTCAGTGAAAGGGTCCTGACAAATGTCCCCACCCCTTTCTCACTTGCCTTTTTCCTCCATCATGGTTGCTTTTACTTTTTTTTTGGCAGAGATGTGTATTCAACCCATGGGCATTTTATCACTGGGCTATACCCCCTGCTCCTCCCCCCTTTTTCCTTTGGATTTTTCTTTTTTTTTTTTGAGACAGGATCTCACTATGTAGTACAGCAGGCTGGCCTAGAACTCATGCTGATTCTTTTGCCTCAGTCTCCCGAGTGCTGGGAATACAGGTATGTGCTACCACACCCGGCTTTCCTTTCTTCTTTCTGAGACAGGATCTTGCTAAATTGTCCAGGCTGGCTTTGAATTTGAATTTTTTTTGTTTGTTTGTTTTTGGTTTTTTGGTTTTTCTCCGGTACCAGGAACCGAACTCACGACCTTGTGCTTGTCAGGCAGGCGCTTTGCCGCTGAGCTAAATCCCCAGCCCCTTGAATTTGAATTTTTAATCCTTCTGCTTCAGCCTCCCTCCTGGGATTATAGGTGTGTGCCACTGACCTGGGGTCTGTTGTGTTTTCAAACTCTAACATAAACGTTTTATTTATTTTGAACCACATGTAAGACTTTAAGCTTCATTTGGGCTGGAAATTGTATCTGTTTGCTACTGACATAGTCCTGATATAGAGACCACTATAGGGACAGAAGAAAAATTCTTGGGGCCTTAACCTGTTATTCATTAAAAGTATGGTTTGTGCTAGGCATGGTGGCATACACCTATAATCCCAGCAGTCTGAGAGGCTGAGGCAGGAGGATAGCAAATGTGAGCCCAGCTTGGGCAATTTAGCAAGATCCTGCCTCAAAACAAAAATAAAAAGGGTTGGGGACATAGCTCAAAATGAAGGTGCTGAGTTCAATCTCTAGTACCACATTTTTTTTTAAAAAAAGCAAAATTTGTACTTTCTTCTAAGATAGGGACTTGAAGTGGTTTTTGCTGAAAAAAAAAAAAAAATCCAAAGAAAAAAGTGGGGAGGAGCAGGGGGTATAGCCCAGTAATAAAAGGCTTCACTTGAGCCTGCAAACCCCCATAAAGGTAACTAAAAGTAGAACAAAGCCTGACTTTCACTTCGTAAAACTCTGGGTCAAATCCTTCTCAATTCTGCATATACACATATTAGTCACTTAGGGAATATCTGTCTAAAAATGGGCAAAACAAGATTTATTAGCCTGAAATTTACCTTGCCCATCTCATCGCCCTTTAAGACTGAGAACACCTGCACTCTTAAGTCTCTATTGCCCCTAAACCTGTGGTCATCTTGGATTTCATCAGAGCCTCATATAAGTGAGACTGCCCCTTACATCATGAGGATTTCTCCCACCGGAAACAGACTGCATCTTAAGACATGAGATTCTGCCCTCCAGAAATGAACTGCCCTTCAGGTCAGGAGGATTCAACCTGTGCTGGAAACCAGGACTGAGATAATAACTGATCAGACCCTGGTCCACCTTAGCTGACTCTTAAAAGTTGGCCTCCTGCATCTGCGGCAGAGCAATCTGATCTTCATCAGAGTGTGCCCCCTCCAGCTACTCAAGCTGGAGTCTTTTCCTTATCTTCTCTTCCCTTCCAATTAAAACTCTGTCAATTCAAACTCACTTTAATTGTAATTTCCATGATCACTAAAGCAAAGACCCATGCTAGCCGGTGACACTATTTTGCTAGTCCTAAGAACACTGCAGGGACTAAATACTTGTTGAATGAACAGATCCAGAGATCAATGAGATAGTCCCTGCTCCCGAAAAGTTCACAGTCTAATGGCCACTTTTTTTTCCCTGGACTTCATTTCCTGTCTTTGTAAACTGAAAGGGCTGAGGCCTGAAGGCCTGAAGACTCTGTCATGGTTCTGTGGATCAGTAAAAGCAGGATGACAACATTTTGCATTTGGACATTACAGTGCACATCCATTCTGTCGTTTGATCTTCGTCACACCCTGTACCTCGCCAGAGATGAGGAGAGGAAGCTCAAGGAGGTGAAGAAAATTACCCAGGGTTCCACAAACGAAAAGTGGATGGCTGGGACCAGAACCCAAGTCACACCTCAGGCCCAGGGCTCCTTCCTTAGCACCACTTGATGCAAAGGGTCCTGCCTATTACAAATGCTGAGATAGACCAACTCTTAGTATAACTCTTCTGGAGATCCTGTCCCTACCCCTCCAACCGTCCAGAATGGCCTCCAGGTCTCCCCCTTGGGATCCCTTGAGGAGCAAGGAAGTTTGACTCCCCTCTCCATACCATGCAGTCCATGAGGATGAATTTGAGATTGTCTTCATTAAACGCTTGGTTTCCGTTTCGGTCGTACGCGGCCCAGATGTTACTGGCAATGGCCGCAGTGACCCGGGCGTCCGTGTCGCCGTAACCCGAGTAGGCCAGCAGCGATCCCTCGTTATTCAGCAGCCTGGCGAGGGGCAGGGAGGGATATCGACATACTCAGGGAAGGAGCAAAACGCCCAGGTTCCTATCCCAACTCCCACCACTGGCGCTTCTAGGAAGCAAGGGTTGAGCTGTTCCCGGGAACATGCCCTAAGTACCCAGCACATAGGCTTCCCTTTTGAAGAGGGGCCCTCGAGGCCAGCTCCCCCAGCAGTCGCCGCTTCCCCGCCTGGCAGTCCTTCCCTGTTCCTCCCGCAGACAGCCGTGCACCGCCCCACTCCAGCGTTCGCCGCTCGGGTCCTCCGTGAGAACTCACAGGGTGCTCTGGACGCCTCCAGTGTTGGCTTGGCTGAGCACCTGGGTCAAAGCCTTGGGACGCAGCATGCCTACGGCTCCTAACCCTGGGCTTCTGATCCCCGGAGGGGCCTCCTGCCGGTCTCTGCCAGCCGCTTCCGCAGACCAGCTGCCGCGCTCTGCCTTGTCCTGGGAGTCGTAGCGTCCCTGCTCGGCTCCCGTAGCTCCGCCACAACCTGGCCTGTGCGGGGGGCGCTGGGAATTGTAGTTCCTTACGGCCTCGCGCCAGGCACTCTGGGAACTATAGTTTGTCTTTCCTGTCAGACCACTGGGCTCTGAGGCGAAAGAGCGGGAGTAAAAGGATAGTGGCCGTACTGGAAGGACTCTTAACCCCTTCGGGGAAAGGAAGTCATCATTTCTGCTAGTCATTGCACGATTCAATAGTGATTTTTTGAAAGCTCGTATTTGTTAGGCACACCTTTGGTTACTTTTCAAAGCATGCTATGCACACTTCTGGGAGAAGAGGCGAGAAGTGCTATTATTTCGAGGAAATCAAGGCTCAGAAAAGACATGCAAGCAAAACGCCCCGGTTTAGATCATCAGGCCACTGCCCGCGGGGGAACAGGTCCGCCCTGAGAAAGGCTGCGATGGCCGCCCGTGGTGGGAACACCAGCCTCCGAGGAGCGAGGCCCGGGGCCTGGGGGAGTCGGGCCTCCCAGAAAGGCAGAGTTGTCTCAGGGAGTGCAGACAGCGCGGCGACGGGGAGAGTCCTTTGTCCCACAGCGCAGTGAGCCGCGGAGGTCGCCAGGCAGAGCCCGCCCCGCCCGGCTGCGCGACCCGCGGAGCCCCGCGGCCCCCGCTGCAG